TATATATATATATATATATATATATATACATATATATATATATATATATATATATATATATATATATATGTGTGTGTGTGTGTGTGTGGCTTTATGTTTCTATTCACTACACACCGTTTCTATGCGTGTATTGTACAGGTGCATATACCCATGTTGCATGTAATTAATCATATATAGGTGATGCATTTATCCAGTAATATAACCAGCCCAAGATTCCATAATCGATTTTCGATCCTGATCCCCCCTATTTGTTAATGTCTGAGTTGCTGGTGCACGTTTGTTCATCTTGTTTCCTTTGATTGTTGTTGCAGGTGCTCGAGATAATGGGTACGCTCGGTCTTTCCGAGTGCAAGAACACGCGCACCTGTCGTCTGTCTGGCGGGCAGAGGAAGCGGCTCTCCATAGCACAGGAACTTGTCAACAACCCACCCGTGATGTTCTTTGATGAGCCAACAAGGTGAGTTCGCATCGACGGCATGTGTAGGAGAGTAGCTGCTTTGGCGTCGGACGCACGGCATGCGGTCTTGAATATTCGAGTTTGAGCACTTCCCATGGGATGTACACCACGTCACAAACCCTTGTCCGACTTTTAGACATACTTATAGACTTGTTCTTTGTTTTTAGCTCATCTGACATAGTCAGTTAACGTTTGTGCCTGCATGTGACCTATGAACCACAACTTAGACTAAATTATTAAAAAAACAAAAATTATTATTTTTATGAATTATATATATATATATAGTGTGTGTGTACTCTGGTATATATCTATAACGAAAAATGATATCTTTTCAGTGGGTTGGATAGCTCATCATGCTTTCAGTGTATCGCACTGTTAAAGTCACTAGCACTGGGAGGCAGGACAATCATCTGTACAATACACCAACCAAGTGCAAAGCTGTTTGAAATGTTTAACAAGGTACTGCACTGCACACCGTGCCTCTATCGTTGCTATACTGCCCTTTTAAATTTGCCCGACTCTTGTTGTAATAATAATGATAGCACGTGATCTATATATGTGATGCTTGCCGATGTTTTGTAAGGGGGGGGGGTGTTAATAATGAGGTCATAGGCAGGTATTTTCGCTTGTCGGTGTACCCTGAATTGTGTAATCTTCTCACTGAAACTTAAGGTTACTGAGATTTTTTCATGTAGTATTTACGTACTCATTGATTCAAGTGTGTGTGCAACTATCATCACGTAATAGCCAAAAACTTGTAATTTAGGATTATTATCAAATCGTGTGCGCATTTTGTTGCAAATACGTTACAATTGATCAGCTACGAACAGCTAAGGATAATCGTGGGAATTCATTGCTGTGCACTTTTGCATCACATAACTTAATTGTGATGCACGTGCATACCGCGTGTTGGCCAATCAGATATGCATATTGGATAATACGTGTGTAGTCATATTTCAGTTATACATATATATGGCTTTTCTTTACCTCATTTCAGTTATATATACTAGCAGATGGACAATGCATTTACAAAGGCAAAACCAAAGGGCTGATTCCATTCCTAAAGTCAGAGTCACTGGAATGTCCAGCATATCACAACCCTGCTGACTTTGGTAAAAGCACATCTAGCTCACTGTTATATAGAGTGATGCTTTCATCGTTTGTTACTTCTAAATATATTTGAAACGTTCATACACTCATCTATTTTTGCCATGGCATATAAATAAGCAAAAATGAATAAGTAAATAAATAAACAATATGTCAGTTATATGCAATCGTTATAAAACTGTTCGTAATAATCACTCCTCGTTAAAAAATTATTATAACGAGTTATCATCTTTTTAATCAAGGATTGCCCACTCGGCATGTATGTAGTATATAGTTTATTACCATACCTGTATGTCTATTAACGTCTATGTGTCTTTGTGTACAGTGATAGAGGTCGCTTGCGGGGAGTATGGCGAGTACGTGCCGAAACTGGTCGTGGCAATCAAGGGTGATAAGCAGGACCAGTTCCAAAATGGTGACCACAAGCCGATCAACAGCGACAGTTACAGTGGTCTGAGCGACCTGGCGATGGGCAAGGAACTTCCGTACATGCGCGAGACGGACATCGTAGACACGATCTGTGACACAAAGGTGCAGCTTAATGGCAAAGGAGTGTGTGGGACTGAAACGACAAAGGTGAAGGTTGCCTGTCGGCATGCGCGCGTAGCTTGGCCTGCGTTTGGGTCACCCTGCTATATGTATATTGCAGGTTTCTGGTTTGCATGCATCTTTAAAAGCTGCAGGTTTCTGCCGCGTGATCGTCCTATTAAAAGATGAGCAAAAATCAATGGCTACATGTGCTATCGGTGTACGTTGTGCACAAACTGGATGTGATCTGAACACATTGCGGTTAATCCTGCAGCTGGATGTGGAAGATAGTGCATGCGCATGCAAGCAGGTCGCCTAGCTGGTCAGAAGCAAACCACTGCTTGTTGCTACTAAAGCAGCTAATTGTTTATGGGGTCATACTGTAAGGCACCCCAGAAGATTTGTAGGCATTCCGAGTAGTATATATATATATATAAAATCTTATCTTATGTTTATTGTGAAATGGTGAATGTATATATATAGGTAAATATATCAGAGACAGTGTATAGAGCTATATGAGATTATAGTGTATGTTGTGTGTAAGTTTTGATCCAAGCTAGGTACTCTGTAAACCATGTTTTACATGTGTTTTGGTTAATTAGTGTGTGTGTGGGGGGAGGGGGGGAGGTTATCCATTGAAGAAATAAAATTTCACATGACAATGATATTAATAAGTTCCACTCAGGTTAAGTGAAACAGATTTCACTGCGGAAGAAGATTACATACATGCAGTAGTGTACAGAACCATGTGGCAGTAGATGTGAATACGTTTTTCACTGTCGCAGGATCAGGATGATGAGGATGCGAAGTTGTTGCCACCACATCTACATACGTTTGAAACATCCTGCTGGACACAGTTCTGCGTCTTGTTCGTCCGTACATTCTGGTCAATCATGAGAGATGAGGTATGGCATTCTCTGCCAGTATAAAGTTATTTATATAGATCTGACTTGTTGTAATATTGTACTACTAAAAACGTTTTAATCTGCACTTGGGTTCTCTTCACAAGTATTACCATATCGTGTGTTAACCAGTTGATATTATTCACATTATTGTAATGCCCTTAATATTGTTTGAACTAATTCCAGCTCAATCAGAGCAAATTTTAAAACGTGAGAATGTGGGAAAGTAGAAATGCTAGCTATCGAGTCTATAGACAGTGCATGAAATACTGGAACTCTTAAAAATCTGCATTGTCAAAACCATAATGTTATAAACATTATAAAATCCCTTGCTTATAATTATAATGCGCATAATATTATTCGTTATCAATGTCATTCATATATCGTTCATTAATCGCAATCGTCTACGTTGCACTCATAATACCCAGGGGCGGATCTAGGGGGCGGGGTCTGGGGGGTCCGGACCCACCATTTAATTTTAAAGTGCCCTAAAATTACTGCTCAGATGCTCTCAAAATGCACCAATTTTTAAAATGTTTCTTGGTGGTGGGGCCCCCCCCCCCTAAGTGGCCTTCGGCAGCTTTTGAAAACACCAGAAAAATTAAGTAGGAAAAGGTGCCCTTTATTTCTTCCTGGACACCTCCTTTTTAAAAATCCTGGATCTGCCCCTGCTATCATTTGTTTTAACATGTACTTGATTTACGTTAATTTGTTTTCTTTCTTGCTTGCAGACGTTGACTCTGCTACGCTTCGTCTCTTGCGTCGTGGTCGGCGTCACAATAGGCCTTCTCTACTTTGGCATCGGCAACGATGCCGGAAAGGTGTTCAACAACTGTGGATCGTTGTTCTTCGGGCTGCTGTTCATTATGTTTACCTCACTGATGCCGACGGTGTTAACATGTAGGTTATGTAGGTTCTTCACTTAAGCCTAGCGACGACTTTTCATGCAACTCGGCTGCGATTCTAGAATCGCAGATTCGCAGTCGAAATTGCTGTGAAATCGCTATGTCTGCGGGAACGTGCAATTGCAACTCGTAGCGATTCTGGTCGCTTGCAACGAGTTGCAAGAAATCAAACTTAGAAATCAAGTTTAATTTTCAGTAACTCGCCGCTCCCAATCACTCCAAAATCGCTTCGAAATCGCTTGCATGCGCACACACGGTGAAGCATGCGAGCGGTCGCATGCGGCTGCAAGTTGCAGCGACGAGCAACAAAAAGTCGCAAGTCTGCGCTAGGCTTTAGATAGTGATATTCTGGACTGAGAAGGCCTAAAATGTCAAAGCTAAAATTTACTACTAATTAGTGGCAGATGTTTTACTGATGTTTTCAACAGGATGTTTTTGCATCACGAAGTCTTTATAAGTTATCTTTTGATCTAATCTGATATGGTTCTTTTGCAGTTCCACTTGAGATGAATGTGTTCGTGAAAGAGCACCTGAACTATTGGTATAGTCTAAAGGCTTACTATTTAGCAAAAACAATGGCTGATCTACCGTTCCAAGTAAGTTCATTTATTTGGTCTAAAATTCTTATTGTACTAATTAAGTATCTTGAGTCTTTGAGTTTGCACTGAATAACTGGTGCTGAAGTATATATATATATATAATCTGTTTCTATGGTTAATGTGGGTACATTTTCATATAGTAAATTTGTGTGGAGTCATAAAATTGCTACATTCCATAACGACTGCATGACTATAGCTATAATGATCGACTCTACATTGACGTTGTTATTATTATGTTACGTTTTCTAATTATTTCCCCCCCCCCAACAGATCATCGTTCCTATAGTGTATGCAAGCATCACGTACTGGATGACGGCACAGCCTAACGACCTGCAGCGATTTCTCTTGTTCTTGGCACTGATCACCTTGACAGCGCTCGTTTCACAGGCGCTCGGACTACTAATTGCTGCTGGCTGCACCTTACAGGTAAAATGGCCGCCACGTTAAACTCGTCTTTTGGGTTTAGTGCTAACGTCATAGCTACATTACATTTAGCAGTAATCTACGTGGGGTAGTGTGGTGGATACATGCTCTGTAGAGATGACCCACGTATTTATTTCATTTTCCCCCACTAGCTCGGTGACAATGTCCCCCTCCAGCTCTATGACAACATCCCATGCCAGCTTGGTGACAACGTCCCCCGTCAGCTCGGTGGCAACCCTTCCCCCCAACACCTCGGTGACAACGTCCCCCACCACCTCGGTGACAATGTTCCATGCCAGCTCGATGACAACCCTCCCCCCCCCATCCTCTTGGTGACAACGTCTCCCTCCACCTTGGTGACAACCCTTCCCCCCACTAGCTCAGTGCCAATGGCCCTCATCAGCTTGGTGACAACGTCCCCCGCCAGCTCGATGACAATGTTCCCTCATCAGCTTGGTGACACTCTCGTGACAGCTCAGTGACAGCCTCCGGCGTGTTTGCAGGTGGCCGTGTTCCTCGGCCCGATCACGGCCATTCCGATCCTGCTCTTCAGCGGCTTCTTCGTCAGCTTCAAGACGATACCAAAGTACCTGCAGTGGCTGTCGTACATGTCGTACGTGCGCTACAGCTTCGAGGGCACTTTGCTCGCGCTCTACGGCAACGGGCGCGAGCTCCTCGACTGCGATGAGACGGAGGAGACGAAGCGCATCCAGTGCATGCACTACCGCGACCCGAAGAACATCCTCGAGGACATGGACGTCGACGGTGGCGACATCTACGTCGACTTCCTCGTGCTGCTGCTCATCTTCGCGCTGCTGCGTCTCGGCGCTTACATCGTGCTGCGCTGGAAGCTGCGCATGACCAAGTGAACGTCCGTGCATGACCAAGTGAACGCTCGTGCTGCGTGCCGCGATGGAAGCAGCTGCGCATGACCAAGTGAACGTCTCTGTGCCGCGCTGGAAACTGCACATGACCAAGTGAACGTCCGTGCTGCGCTGGACGCTCCGCGTGACCAAGCGAACGTCTGTGCACGTCGCCCCGGCGCGTACATTGTCCTACGCTGGTAGCTGCGCACGACCAAGTGAACATTCGCACGACGTCAGCGGCGCACAGGGCAGAGAATGATCTGAGTGATGTATCGGTGGGTGAGGGGGTGGGGGGTTGGGGGAGGGGGGAAGTGTGATCTCAGATCTGTGTTTACATAGCGGCTGGAATGGCGCGTTGCACGCGTACCGAACCGAGTACGGTTTCTGAAAGGTGCGAGATTTCTGTGTTTCAACACTCACGTTTCTTTTGATCCCACTGAGATGTGTTTTTCGCAGAAACGATGGAGAGCACTTGTTGAAGTAGGCGACTATGTAGGATGTAACGTTAGAGATCAGTGCATGACTAATCATGACATCTCACCAAAATATCACGTCACAAAATAATCTTAGTTTATTCATACGCATGTATATATATGATTTTGGTATATACATCCTAATATTATATAGAGGAGTTTGAGATATACGCTAACGATGTAACTTATCTTCACTGTAAACACATTTATTTTACTTGGTGAATAGTTTATGAGAGGAGCATTTTTATGTCATTGGCTCCATTTTTACCAACCTTTTGTCGTACAATGAATATATGAACATTATATCATCCGATGATGTG